GTTTGTGGACACCGGAGGGATGTGTTTTCGGGACCCGTTTAGGCATGTCCTCTATCGTGTGTTTTGGTCGTTCGCACAAACGGAACATGCATTCTAGTTTTGTCGGCCAGTCGTACTTGTTGATGGCACTTTCCTGACAGGAAAGTATAGGGGCACCTTGATGATGGTTGCTGCTGTTGATCCTGAGGACAAGATAGTACCCGTGGCATTTGCTTTGGCAGAGGGAGAGAACAATGAATCATGGTCATGGTTCATGCGGCTTCTACGTGTACAAGTGCTTGGCCCATCTCGCACTATATGTTTGATCTCGGACCATCACCCAGGGCTTCTTAATGCTGCAGCTGAGCATATAGATGGGTTCCCGCCTCTAGTGCATAGATGGTGTATGAGACACTTTGCCGCTAAGATGGAACAAAAGGCTTAGTGGGCGTTAGCATATGACGAGGGCGATTTTAGGTATGGCATCATGACCACTAACTCCTCGGAGTCCTTCCACCATGTATTCACCGGAGTTCGATCGTTGCCTGTGTCTGAAATTGTTGAGTTCTCCTTTCATAAGTGCAACGAATATTTTATCAAGAGGTGGGAACTTGAGCAGAGGAATATAGCTGAGTAGGGGCATTTTGGAAAGGCCGGAGCAGAACATTTGAAGGAGGCCAAGGAATTGGCCAAGCAGCACATCGCCGAGCTATATGGACCCTGCCGCCATATCTTTAGTGTACGGGGCAAGGGTGGCACAAGCTTGGGTGGCGAACGTATGGTGGACGAAACTACTGAGTTGATCTTGAAAAGGTAGAGTGCAGTTGCAATGTCTCTCAGATCATGCATGCCCCTTGCTCTCATATGATCACGGCCTGCAGGGTTTGTGGGTACAACTATGAGGATCTGCCATATATGTCACCCTTGTATCTCCGTTCGAACACCGTTAGTATTTGAGAGATGAGCTTCGAGCCATACCTTGACCTGACACAGTGGCCACCTTATAATGGTTATGACTACGTGCCACATCTGGATCTAATGAAGGTAGGGAAGGGTAGGAGGAAGAAGAAGCGACTCAAGGGGGACATGGACGCTATGAGAGGGTACGGCGAAGACATGTATAGAGGGGGAGACTTCAACAAGACCCGTGGCACGAATCTTTGCTCCGTTCGCAAAGACCCTGGTCACAAGGCTAGTAGGCATAGAAGACGAGGGCAGCAGCTGCTTTCATATTTTGTTCGTATTGCATAACAAGTAGTTCAAATTTTGCAATGTTACATAATGTTAATTTGAATATTGTTAATTTGAATACTCTAACCCTTTGTTTATCAATTTGTAATAGGATGGCCCCTCCCACGCGCACCATATGTACCCCCTTCTTCCACCAGACGACGAGGTTTCCAAGAGGCGTTCGAGTGATCCTTACACTCCTGGGACTTAGTTGGTTATGTCGAACTTATGTCGAATAAATATTGTCGCCCGAAACTTACAGACTCATGAACCAATGAAAATGTTATGTGGCAACTTGTCAACTTGCACACTGACTCCATTTATTTGCTTCATATTCGTTTCAACTTGCGCATGGTTGCGGTAGCACTTGTAATTGTTTACAGCACTGACAGCAGCTCCCGTTCAGTTGTAATTGAGGCTGGTCGGCTTCTGTCTGCGTCCAGGTCCTACTGCGCCGTGGGGCTTGGCGCATCAGTGCCGCGTCGTGGGCTATGGCATGGTAGAACCTAGGCTTAGGGTTGCGTGCCAAACGTGACTCATGAAAAAGAACGCTGTAGTAAAGTGATAACATTATTGTTATTTTACATTGATCTGATGCTAATAACATAAATTATACGCTACTATTTTAAAATACATGGGAAACATGCAAGATATATATGCCAGCCAACCGTATTCAAAATAATTTCACTCGATTTTGTTCATTTTAGAAATTCTCAACGCATTCGCTATTATTAAAAAAACTTGGAGAGCGACAAACGGATGGGTCGGAGGGTGACAAACGGATGGGATCACTTAAGATCGACCATGGGTAATCCGAGTACATGATACATGGGTACAATACATCAATAGTTCAAATGGAAAACAAGACAACACAATGAAAGTTCTAGTACATAGCTACATTGATCATTAATAAAGCATAGAACTAACAGACGACGAAATCAAAAATCCTCAGTCAGAAACATACTGAGTAAGCAACTCATCGTACGAGTACCAATCCTCTACCACAACCCTGTTGTTGTGGCTAGGGTCACCTGCATTGCCCTGATCTGCCTTTCGCCTGTAGTAAGCAGCCTCCGCTTCATCTGCGGCCTGAGTGAAGAACGCGTCGTCATCCTCCTCCGCTTGCAAGCCCGCCTCTGCTAGAGCGATGAGCTTGCTCAGTCTGCCAGTGTCGTCCTTAGCCTCCTCCGCCTGTAAGCCTGCCTCTGCTAGAGCGATGAGCTCGCTCAGTCTGCCATTGTCGTCCTCATCCTCGTCCCCCTCATCAGACAACACAATCGGTGATTGAACGGTGTGACCAGCTCGCGTTCTGTACTCATTGAACTTCTTTTCCTCATACCTTGCACGAGCCAACTCTGCGTCATGGTCCTCACTGTATCCAATCCCTTTATGTATAAAATGCAATCAATTAACAACGTGATTATATTACATTTAAAATTAGGCAACGAAAAAAGGCTTTCAAGCACTTACTAGCACATAATGCAACAACATGCTCGTTCAAGACCTGCATCTATACTCTTGTCTCCTCCCTTGCCTCCTTGCTTACCCTCTCCTCCTCTAACACCCTCCGTCTCTCCAATCCCCATTTGTCAAGCCCAACATCGATCGGATTACGAATACCACGCTGTCTAGCAAACTCACGCATCTTGTCTTTGTGATGTTTAACGAATAGGTTGACGTAGTCAGTTCCATATCCCCTCTTCCGTGCAATTACTTACTTCCCCTTCAATTCATCCAAGAATTTAGCTTGACCATCATAACATTCCCACCTGCATTTCCTAGTGCTCTGTTCAAATGAAAAATTATATCATATATGTCTTAGCAAAAGAAACAAAATACGATTTCATGTTTACCACAAAAATAACCAACCTCATCATAGTCAACCATATGGCCGCAATAATGGCCTATTCCAAGCTCCGAAGGGACTAGACCGTAGTTGGATTTAACACCACGTTCGCACTTGACTGGAGCTGCTTTGTAAATTAACATTTCTTTCTTCTTTTCCTTTGCCTTTGATGGCTCCGACCATTGATTCTTAGGACCATAGAGCCACTCCTTGAAATGACACTTCGCAAATCCATACACCTAAAAGAGGAGACATTAGTACATGCACACATAGAGCTAAACATTTAAACTGATACACTTTCCACTTACTTCGTGTTTGTTCGGACACACAAACTCCAACGTATTCTCAAGGTTTATCACAGCTCGATCTCCGCAATCGCACAGAGGAGGTTCCTCGAGTCGTCTAACTACGGCTAAGTGTTTCTCCTAAGCCGTCATTGGAGTGGGGTTAGGGGGAGCTGGAACCCACCGCTCGAAGTGCTCTCGTGGATGTCGCCCTCTCCACCAATCGTCGAAAAGGAGGTACCTAGGGTCAAACTTGTCTACACCGTCGATCCACTGGTCTAAGCTATAAGTCTAGAATTTCCTTGAGCTATTCAATTTCTAGCTCAAAAAAAAAAGAATCCATGAGAGACTTAATTTCCAAACCCACGTAATATTGTTTGGTGTAAAAACGCTTGCAGTGGTGAGAGCTGTCTCACTTAGTCACCAGGTCGTGGGTTTGAAGCAGCTTCTCCGTAGATTTGCGGGGGGAAGGTTTGCCTCGGTTTTTCTCTTCCCCAGACCCCACTCTTGTGGGAGCCTCCGGCACTGGGTCTGCCCTTTTAAAAACGTTCCACTGGTGTGGCGCTTAACATCATCTGTTCTTTTGATGCCAGAACCATGGGGATTGGGAGGGATTGAGGGGGATTAAATCCTCTACAAGTCAAAATCCCCCTCAATCCTCTCCAATCCCCTTGAATCCCTTTTATTTCTAGAACAACCGAACAAGGCCTAACTTGGACTCATGTTCTTGCTTCTACAGTACAAGTTAGGAAAACTCATAGGCTCACGTTTGTTTTTATTTATTCAGCTGCTTGTCATATTTATGGCTTCAGTTGCTTGTAATATTTAGAGTTTGTTTTAGACTGCTCTGCTCCACTAAACCAATTCTACTCTACCGTGGAGCAGTTCCACTCTAGAGTTACAATTGCACTATAGAGGTGGATTGGATATGTTTGACTTGAAGTTTTGCTCCAGCTCCAGGAATGGAAGGCTTTCCTGTGAATCATCTAATGTCCTTGGATGATTTGTGTAGTGCATAATTTGAAGTATGTAAGCATGTGTGGGTGACTGTATTTCTTTTTTATGAGTTGAAAAATCCCTTTTTTTTAACATACGAATAAATATCATACTGGTACAGGTGCCCGATGTAGCTTATGTCAGCGGCAATTTGCTTGCCCAATGTGTGGAAAACCAATAGTAATTTTGCAGAAAATGATCAAACCAACATCCTGTGCACTCAAGAAAGGAATATGTTTCACAGGTGCTGAATTTTTTGACATCGGGGGCAACCATCTCTCATGCAAAAAAAATAGATACAAAATTCAGGGAAACTTAAATTCAGAACTGATCACTGATAAACAGGTCTTGTTTGTCAAAAGCATTCTGTAAATGCTTAAATAGACATTACAGGAAGATAAAAGTTACTGAGCAAATTCACAACCCCTAAACATACCCATCGGGAGGCAAAGCATGGCAAATTCATGGATAAAGTCATACTCATACCGAGGAGACAGATTAACTGATCTATGCCCTATTGTACAATGGTTGGCAACTGATGCCCGTAGTGACATTCAAACCATCAACTTTCCCGAAGGAGGGGAATAGTCTACTATATATAAAGAAAATGAATCTACATCCAAGGATTCAGCCTGTCTTAGCAAAAATCTAGCCTCTGTATTTCATCAATGCGATGTGCACAACATATATGATTGAGCCTCTGTCTTCCACTTGTAGTCTCTGTCTTCCACCTGTAGTCGGTGAAGACTTGCTTGAACTGGGTCATTCATCCTTGTCAACATAACCTGCACAGGAACATTATGATGTCAGATATCATATATATGTTGACAGGTCCAAGTAAATGCATCCTTCTCAAGTGAAATAATTTCTAGACAAGGATTGCACTTCTAACAATGTTCAGAAGCTTTGTGCTGATTCAACATGAACTCGTGAACTTTTGTAATCAAATTAAAGATGGGGATGGGTGATCCACGGAGCGAACCGTGGCTGATCACCGGAGAACTTTAGTTACTTTAGCTTGTGTGCTTATATGGCCCAGCTCCGCACGTGGAACGGGCCTGCATACGCGTAGCACCTCGCTTACACTTTCGTCCTCGCTTCGTGTAAAAGGATTAACCCGAAGATGCTACGTTTGGAACAACAAGGATTATAAGCTGGTACTAAACCCACTAACAACAACTCCACATGTGCCACTTGGGTTACATGGGCCAACTTCACAACTACTACATGCTACTGATGGGCTGGGGTGTTACGTTGCGTCTGCTGCTAGAGACAAATCTATTGACAGCAGCGACAGATTCATAACAGACATGAGGCCAGAGCTAGGACCCGGCCGGTTCTACGACAGCAGCCTGCCGAGGCAGCGCTTCTTCCCCGGTGACTGCATGGACCCGCAGGCGTCCATCATCGACACTCTCCTCGAGTGGGCATGCGAGGCGCACAGCGCACTGGTCCATGGCCCATGGGCGGCTTTGGCGTGAAGCCCCTCCGCCTGCAGGGCCGCATCGAGGGCTCCAATGAGCCATCGACAAGCTCCGCCGCCGCACGCTGCTTTGCCAGGGCAAAGGCCAAGGCCCGCTCCGCCGGCCACAAGCCCACCTTGCTCGCTGCGCTCAGCTCCGACGAGGAGGAGGCGGTGTAGGAGCGGGCCCTAAAAAAAGGAAAGAAACTGCAACTCGCGTCCGTACTCTCCGCCAAAGACGCCGGTGAGGAGGCCGCATACAGTTGCCTCGGTAGCATCGTGCTCCAGCACCTTGAGCTCCTCGGCGCCTTGTGTCCCCAACGCCATGGCGTGCACGTGCTGGCTGACGCCCGAGGTACACCACGTACGATGACAGCTCGCCGGACGCCGGACGCAGCAGCAAGCAAGAGCGAGCGCCGAGCCGCCGAGAACATGAGAGCGGCGAGGACGGGTGCTATCGATGCGGTCACGGTCGCCGGAAGGCTGCTGCACCGGCCACGCCGCGGTGCCCTCACCAGCACCGGGATAAAGGTGGATCGAACCGCTAGATCTTTCGGTTCGGTGGTTTCTGATCCATCGATCCTGATCCTCTATCTGTTGTTAGAATGGAGTCCATTTGGATAGTTTTTATGGGCCGGTTCGACGAACCGCTCCACAGAACCGAACCACGCCCATCTTTAAATCAAATCAAATTGTCAAATGTATGAAGTACATCTCCCAGTATATGAAAGACATTTGCATTTAATTTCACAGCTAAAAGATGAGTCATGTGAATCAAGAAATGGTCAAATACAGTGAGGTAGATGGTGAAACTTATCACACAATGCATCCAGTCGACGACTGTACTAACAAAAGAAATTAAGAAAGCAACATACCCTACTAATCTGATAGATTTTAAAGAATCGAGGAATTGTAAACAGAACTATCCACACTTGTTAGCATTTGCTACCTGGAAGATAGCTACAATAGTTCAACATTAACATATTTATGTTTATGTTGCTGTCCAAATTTAAAATCCACATTAGCTCATTTTTGTAAGACAAACATAACATATGGATGAGAGAGGAAATTCTTATACATTATAACCCATAGTGAGCATGCCGTGGACCGACTAAATCTAAGGTCTGAAAAATGTACGACTTTTGGAGTAGAAAACTTATCGTATATACTGACACCCTTGATGAACTGTGGGGATACTGACACCCTTGATGAACTGTGGGGCCGCAAGAGAAGGCAAGATCTTTTGAGTAAAAGACTCAAAATCTTTTCAGCACGCTGGTCCTTCCCATTGATCCATTTATCACAAACTCTGTTTTTCACAAATAACACAAAGTACAGACTATAGAAAGTAAGAAATGAGGAAAAAACATACTAGAACAACAAATGATAAATTTCTATCGCCTCAAGTGCTCCCACAATGCAGCTACTGAGGAATGAAAACACAACACATTATAGCCGGCAATAGCAAATGCATGTGACTTCATTAATAAAAATGTCACCATAATGCAACACTAACAGAAATACAACACAGGGAGCAGCAACATCAAAATGCTCACAGATTCTAGCAACGAGGAGAGGATAATCTACACCAGGAAGATCTTTAACAAGCAAGTCAATCATCCACAACATAGAGAATTGTGGATTGATTGTTTTATAAAAGATAGATTGAACATAGACTTGAAAAACATACCATTTAATAGCTAAACCAGAAACACATGAAGCATCTTCCAGTTTCCAGTGGTGCCTAAACAATTTGGAAACAGAAGTGGAGCTGCTGCGCTGCCACCGCCGCCGCCATCGGTAATGCATTGGGGCCACCATTCCTGTCCTATTGTCGATGCTAAAATCCAGTATCCAGCAGCTTGTTAGTCTCAGTAAACTCACCTTCCACTGGAATGGCATCTTCTTCCACCAAAAAACAAAACTGATGAATTTCATGTTAACTTTGTCCTACATGACAGAAGCTGTAAAGCTAAAAAATCCAGCAGCTTGTTAGTTTACTCCAAGTACCACAACTCTTCTTTCAAATCAATCACAATCGAATTTTCTTATTCTTAACCAAATAGCATTGTAAAAAATGACTTTTTCCAGAATTAAGCCATCTTGATCAACCAAGAGCACCCTACACCGTCATTCTCCTAGCCACCAAAAAGAAAAATCCTTGGCAACCACCATTCACAAAACAAGAAAATGCTTCCATAAACAAAATCATTGAAGCCTTACATCTGTATTAAGTAGCCGATGGCCACAAAATGTGAATCCCTGGCATGTGAGTATCATCCAACAAAACCAGGCCATGGTCTGAATCTATGATCAATTTCCTACTCTGTTCAGCCAATACAGTATGCCCTAACTCCTAAAAGAGCAAGAAGAAACACTCATCAGACTAGCTAACAAGTTCCCCAACTTGTTACAAGCCGCCATTAACCAGGTGCCCTGCAATGCCTCAGCAAATGCAGTACTGGTATGGACTGACTGCACTGAATGTATCTTAGCAAACCAAATCATGCTTGCCAATGCCATTTGATTGCTCGTGTTATTACTTGGGCATAATATGATACATGTCTCAAGCTTCTATCTTCTCATAGAAGAGGAAAGCCTCGTACTTGAGAACTTCATCTAGAGAGACTTCTCTGATACTTTTATCATTTGCACGAAACCAAGAGGAAGAGCTACTGCTCGTCTCCTGCTCGCTGAAAATCCTGCTTCCTCTCACATAAGCGACAAAGTGCACTGCTGTTACGGTCCTCCCGCGATGCTCAATGACACCAACTAGACAATATCTGGCATTATCTATGGCCCCAGACCTGTAGGTTTGCAAAATAATAATTCAAAAAGGTCAAGCAAACAAAATGTTAGCTTAGCTATCAACATCACTAACAAGAAAATATTATCAGATTAACAGTTTTGACATATATCATGTGACTAGCTGATTCCTCCAAAACTTAAAACAGAATTAGTGTCACACAGTACAATTGTATTAATAGTCAGTTCATTTCATTTTTTATGTGCACAAAAGGGAAAATAAAATCCTTGGTTGTTCCATTTTGCGGGAAGGGATGACATAGCCGGCACATGTCGCACATCGCCTATGTGTGAGACCCAACACCAGTCAGGCAGTCACCACAATTCAGTTAGACTTCCCAATCAGCGTGCAATGGAAGTACCAGATGCTAGTTGCCTATTGTCCCATTTTCAAAGTATAGTCAGATACTAAAAAAGCGCGTAACTAAACATAGAAACCTTTGTTCTGTACCATTTAAAAAAAAATCAGACCTTTTTCAAAGGTAGTGCTATTTTTTTTCATATATACTACAGAGGTCACACTTGACCAGGAGTGACAAAACCCCAGCAGAAACAACAAAAAAAACAAAAGAAACCTGTCAAGGGCGTCAAGCCCAAGAACAGGCGGACCTCGGCTACGTAGTTCGTAGCCTTGATCCGTGGTAGCCGGCAGGGTTTTGCCCCCACGCCGATGAACGTCGCCGGGTTATGCCCCCTGGCGGCTGAGAGCAGAAGGAGGGATTGGATAGGTATAATCTTTTTTTCCCCCTTTTCTGAATGTGCGGTTACAGGAGATAAATAGCCTCAGGCCCAACTAACCGGAGCAACAAGCTCCTCTAATTTAGGAACTAACAATAGAAAGATAACAAATAATGGAAGGCTATTAATCAGCTAACAATTCCTTCCTCCTCAGCCACTATCGTGACTTGTGGCCAGGGCTGGGCCCTGCTCCACTCCCGAGCCTGCTGCTCGGCGCGTTCCCGGGCGCGGCGCACGTCCCTGGCTCGGCGACGCCTGGTGTACTTGCGCCCGAACATGACATCTCCCTCCCCGCCGAGAATCAGCTCGTCCTCGAGCTGGAACGCCGGGTACTTGGCGCGGAACTCCGCCGTGTTTTCCCACGTCGCCGAGGCAGCTGAAACACCCTGCCACTGGACGAGGACCTGGGGCACACCACTGACGATGCGATAGCGCACCGCACGCGCAGGTTCGGGGTCAATGGCGCCATGTCGGAGAGGAGGCAGAGGCGGTGCTGCAGCTGGAGGCTCTCCTTGGAACTTCTTCAACAGCCCCACGTGAAAGACGTTGTGAATGCGGGCGCCGGCTGGTAGGGCAAGCCGCACAGCGACGTCGTTGATGAGCTCGACGACCTGGTACGGACCGCAGAAACGGGCCTTGAGCTTGCCGCCGGTGGCCTGGGGCAATGAGGAGGCCGAGCGCTGGCGAAGACGAAGCAGCGCCCAGTCACCAACTTGGTAGCTGACATGACGATGATGGCGGTCGTAGAACAGCTTCTGATTGGCTTGAGCTTGCTCCAGGCGGGCACGGACATCAGCCAAGAACTCCTCGCGTTCCGCCATGGTCTTGGCAACTGCCGGCACCCTGGTGTCGCCGGGCTCATACGAGCGAATGGACGGCGGATCGCGCCCGTAGACGACGCGGAACGGCGTATCACGCAGCGACGACTGGTAGGCAGTGTTGAACAAGTACTCCGCCCACGGCAGCCACCGGAGCCACTGCCGCGGCCGATCGCCCGTCAGACACCGCAGGTACATGATGATGACGCGGTTGGCCGACTCGGATTGCCCATCCGACTGCGGATGGAACGCCGTCGTCATGTGGAGCTTGGTACCCATCAGCCTCATAAGTTCCTGCCAAAACAGAGACGTGAAGACAGTGTCCCGGTCGGAGACCATGGACTGCGGTACCCCATGGAGGCGGACGACTTCACTGAAGAATGCTTGGGCGACGGATTCGGCGGAGTAGGGGTGGGCCAACGGAATGAAGTGGCAATACTTGCTCAGGCGATCCACCACGGTGAGAATGACTGACTTCCCGCGGACGCGCGGCAAGGCTTCCACGAAGTCAAGCGCGACGTCGGTCCATATGCCCTGCGGCACCGGAAGCGGCATCAAGAGGCCCGCCGGGTGAAGATGCTCAGACTTGTAGCGCTGGCAGACCGTGCAAGCCCGCACCAGCGCCTGCACCTCCTCCTTCATGTTAGGGAAGTGAAAATCACGTCGGAGGCGGTGCAAGGTACGATGAACGCCCTCGTGTCCGTCGTCATGGACCGCCCGGAGGAGCTCCTGGAGCAGTGGCGACGCTGTCGGGATGTAGAGGCGCCCCCCAAACAGCACCATGCCGTCGACGATGGTCCAGGTCGCAGGCCGGCTCCCGGCAGCGATCTCGGTGTGCAGGGCCACCAGAGCCGGGTCCTGGAGCTGTGCTTGGCGGAGTCGGTCGACGAAGTCGAAGCGCGGCCCGGAGATGGCCAGCAGCTCCCCATCCTCAGTATCCCGCCGGGACAGCGCATCTGCGACGGCGTTAGCCGCTCCCGGCTTGTATTCCACGGAAAAGTCGAAGCCCAGCAACTTGCCCACCCAATGGTGCTGTGGAATGGTGGACAAGCGCTGGTCCAGCAGGTACTTTAGGCTGTAGTGATCAGTCCGGACGACGAAGCTGCGCCCCCACAAGTAAGGTCGCCAATGGCGGACTGCCTGGACCAGCCCAATGAGCTCCCGCTCGTAGGCGGCGAGCGCCCGGTGTCTCGGCGCCACCGGCCGGCTGTAGAAGGCGATCGGGTGGCCGTCTTGGATGAGAACAGCCCCGAATCCATGGGATGACGCGTCGCACTCGACGACGAATGGCTTGGCGAAGTCTGGCATGCCCAACACCGGCGCGGTGGTGACTGCGGCTTTGAGTGCGGCGAAGGCTGCAGTCGCCTCATCACTCCAAACGAAGCCGTCCCGTTTGAGCAGGGCGGTGAGGGGTGCCGCGATGGAGCCGTAGTTGTGGATGAACTTGCGGTAGTAGCCCGCCAAGCCGAGGAATCCGCGGACCGCCCGCGGGGAACGGGGCACCGGCCACTCCACGATGGCCTGCACCTTGGCCGAGTCCATGGCCACACCTGCCGCCGAGATCGTGTGGCCGAGGTAGGCGACCGACGGAACGCCGAACGCACACTTGGAGCGCTTGACGAACAAGGAGTGGCGACGGAGCTCGGTGAGGACGATGCGAAGGTGCCTGAGGTGGTCCGCCCAAGACATGCTGTAGATCAAAATATCATCAAAAAACACCAGCACGAAGCGACGAAGGAAAGGACGAAGCACGTCGTTCATGAGCGCCTGGAACGTGGCCGGGGCGTTGCACAGCCCAAACGGCATGACGAGGAACTCGTAGAGGCCGTCATGGGTGCGGAAAGCCGTCTTGTGGACGTCGTCGGCCCACATTTGCACCTGGTGGTACCCTGAGCGTAGATCGAGCTTGGTGAAGAACTGCGCGCCATGGAGCTCGTCCAGCAGCTCGTCGACGACCGGGATGGGGTAGGCATCCTTCACCGTGATGGCGTTCAGCTCGCGGTAGTCGACGCAGAAACGCCACGAGCCGTCCGGTTTCTTGACTAGGAGCACCGGAGAGGAGAAGGCTGAATCGCTGCGCCGCACGATGCCCTGCTCCATCATGGCCTCGCACTGGCGTTCCAGCTCGTCCTTGTGCGCGGCGGGGTAGCGATATGGGCGGACCGCCACCGGGGCCGAGCCGGGCTTGAGAGTGATGCGGTGGGCGCGCCCCCTGGCCGGTGGCAGGCCGGTTGGCGCCGCGAAGATGTCCTCAAACGCGTCCAGCAGCTCGTCGAGAAGGGGCTCGGTCACTGGTGTGGCCGCATGCAGACGTGGAGGGGACGGGGGAGCAGTGCCGCGCCAGCACACGGTCTGCCCCTCGTGCTGGAAGGCCATGGTGCCTGCCGCCACGTTCCAGACGATGTCACCCAACGGCGCCATCCAGTTGGTGCCGAGGACGACGTCGTAGCCCGCCAATGGCATGAGGTACAGGTCGACGGTGAAGGTCCTGCCATCGATGACGATCGGAGCTTGACGGAGGACACCAGGGCAGGAGATGCGCTCCCCGTTGGCCACTGTGGCCGTCATGCGAGGGCGCGTCTCGACGGGCAGCCCCGCGCGCTGGGCCGCGGCCTCGCTGATGAAGCTGTGCGTGGAACCCGTGTCGACGAGCGCGGTGAGGTCTGCTGCCCCCACACGTACGCGAAGCTGGATGGTGCTGCTGACGGCCACCCCGGCAACCGCGTGGAGGGAGAAGACGGGCGCCTCCCCAGGCTCGGCGTCCTCAGCGAGTTCGACGCCGTCGATGTAGAATATGCGGCGACACACCCGGTTGTGGCCGCGTGAATAGGGCTCATTGCAGTTGTAGCAGAGGCCCAAACGACGCCGTTCCGCCTGCTCCTCCGTGGTAAGGCGCTTGGTTGGTGGGCCCCCTTCCCTGGCCGGTGGTGCTGGGAGGGCCAAGGGCACCCTGGGCGCGGGCAACGCCTGCTGTGCGGGCGCTGGAAAGACGGGCGGTGCGGGAGCCGCCGGGCGAGGTACTGGCGCCGGCAGGATCGCCCGGGGTGCCGCTCTGGGGGCCGCCTGGCTGAGGCGATCCAGCTCCACCAACTCCATCTGACGCGCCAAGCTCATGGCCGCCGCGAGTGAGGACGGTGCATGGACGCGCACTTGATGGCTAAGCGGGGGCAGCAGACCGCCAGTGTAGAGCTGCACCCGCTGGTCTTCGTCGAGACGGCCGGCGCGAGAAAGAAGCGCTTGGAACCTGTTGGAGTATTCTTCGACGGTCCCCGTGCGGCGGCACTCGGAGAGTTCGAAGAGGGGCGCCGAACGCAGGGGCGGCCCGAACCGCAGCTGCAGAAGCTCCTTGAAGCGCCCCCAGGGCGGCGTGCCTTCATCCTCTTGGAGCTGGATGAACCAGAACTGGGCAATGTCCTCCAGATTGTAGGAGGCCATCCACACGCGTTCCTCCGGCATGGTGCGCTGCTGGCGGAAATAGGACTCGCACCGATTTATGAACAGCAGCGGATCAGACTTGCCGTCAAATCGGGGAAAATCCAATTTTTGGAACCGGGGCGGTCGATCGGTATGGTGTTGGCCGTCCTGGTGGCTACTCGCCGCGGAGGACTGGGCAGCTTTCTCCTTGAGGCCCGCCACATCGGCGGAGAGGATCTTCAACATCTGGACGACGTCGGCGAGGCTGGGTTCACCGTCACCCATGGCTGGATGCACAGAACAAGACGCAGCCGATGATTGTGGGGAGGATGGGGGGGCTGGTGGTGGTGCGGTGGAAGCAGAAGGGCTGGAGGCGGCGGATTGGGAGGATCGACGCGACGCTGATACCAGGTTGTCAAGGGCGTCAAGCCCAAGAACGGGCGGACCTCGGCTACGTAGTTCGTAGCCTTGATCCGTGGTAGCCGGCAGGGTTTTGCCCCCACGCCGATGAACGTCGCCGGGTTATGCCCCCTGGCGGCTGAAGAGTAGAAGGAGGGATTAGATAAGTATAATCTTTTTCTTCCCCCTCTGAATGTGCGGTTACAGGAGATAAATGGCCTCAGGCCCAACCAACCGGAGCAACAAGCTCCTCTAATTTAGGAACTAATAATAGAAAGATAACAAATAATGGAAGGCTATTAATCAGCTAACAATTCCTTCCTTCTCAGCCACTATCGTGACTTGTGGCCAGGGCTGGGCCCTGCTCCGCCTGAGCCTGCTGCTCGGCGCGTTCCCGGGCGCGGCGCACGTCCCTAGCTCAGCGACGCCTGGTGTACTTGCGCCCGAACATGACAAAACCCAAGTAGCGTGAGACAAAGTGATAAATTATTAATAACTCAACAAATTTATTTCTAGCACTACTCCAGGTCAGACAATGGCAACTAGAGATTCTTTTAGAGACGTAAAAGCACCTTCTGAATGAACAAAATTGAAACATGCAGTCTAAACAACTCTTTTGAACTAAATACCATATGTTCTTCAATCTTTCCTAAAGATACTGAACAAACTATGAAATAAAAGGTAGCTACTGCAAATGAGAAACTTCAAACTGCACAAAAGTAATATAACTATTGTAGTTAAAAACTTCGAACTTGGGTCTTCTCCCACTTGGTTTGCAGTATTTTCCAGCTCTACTTGTCGTGTTCTATCCTGATTTAGTGCACTGGCCTTTTTGTTATCATGGCACTCAGCAGGTTGCTCTTTTCCTCCACTTTTCCACAATGGTCAAGTTCAACTCGGGCCGTCAAGTGATGTGACTTCACTGATGTTTGCCACCATCTGTCCTCTATCTTTGCTTAGACTGGTGGGGCAAGAGAAAGCAAAATCTTTTCAGCACGCTGGTCCTTACCATTGATCCCTTCATCACAAAGCCTGTTATCGCAAATGAAATTAACACAAAACACAGAAAGTAAGAAGAAGGAAAAAACGTACTAGGACAACAAAATAGTAAATTGCCATCCACTGAAGTGCTAGCTCCCACAATGCAACTACTGAAGTATGAACACATTGTGGATTCATTGTTTAATAAAAGATAGATTGAGCACTGACTTGAAAAACATACCAATTAACCAGAAGGGATTCATTGTTTAATAAAAGATAGATTGAGCATAGACTTGAAAAACATACCAATTAACCAGAAGCACCTGAAGCATCTTCCAATTTTTAGTCGTGACTAAACAAATTAAAACAGATTGTCTAGCACAAGTAAAGAATCTGCACCAAAACATATGGGCCACAGACAACTATACTATATATGGAACCTAAAATCCAGATAATTTCTGTATGAAAACATAATATTTCAGATACTTGTAGCTGCATAATTAAGCAATACGACATTAAAAGTGCTAAATCAAAGATAGGACCGGGAAGGGGAGGGCATGTACCTTGAGCAAGGAGAGCAGCAACACCTATAAGTAAGCAACTAAAACAGAGACTTGAACGGGTTAGAGAACGCACCTGGGGCCAGCAAGAAAACACATACCGCACGCACGGACCAAACCTAGCACATGTCCATCTCCGGAGGGGGAGGTGGGAGCTGCACTGCCGCTGCCGCTGCTGGCTGCTGCGGCGGCGGATCGTACCTCACGGCGTACACCCCATACACGGGCATGTAGTAGACGATGCACACGCACGTCATGACAACCGTGGCGGCGATGCCGAGGTACACCCAGACGCGGAAGATCGGTATCCAGAAGCGTGCCTCCTCGGGATCTGTAGTGAAGGAGAGGACCTTGACGATGCAGATCACAATGTGGAGCCCGACCATAGCCATGCCCCAGGTGCGGCCCATGCCGCCGAACACGCAGTACACGGCGTACGGAAAAAGCTTAATCTTCATCGGCGGCAAGGGACGCACCTCATCCTGCGCCGCCGCGGGTGGGGCCGGAGGTGGGCTCAGCATCGCAACAGGAGCCAAAGGGGCGACGACTCGAGAGGAGCAGGGATCGAGCGAGGAGGGAGGAGCACCTGCGGACATCGGGCGAGGAGGGAGGAGCACCTGCGGCCTCGCCGGAATCGATCGAGGGAGCCGCCGGGTCGAGATCGCGAAGCGCGCGCGCGGAGATGTGATCGGGAGATCGAGATCAGGATTGCGGGAATCGAAAACTCTTGGGAATTGGGATCGATTGCTCTGGGAGGCGGGGGTGGAGGCGACGCCGACGCGCAGGTTTTATTGGCCGGGAAGATGAGTCGCGGAGTCGGTTTTGTCTTTGTGGCGTCACGTGTCCCTCACGCGCCAACCTGGAACCTGCTGTGTGCTGGAACTCGAAGAAGAGCGGGCTTTTTTCATTACCGCCGTTACCCCCTTGAGCCTTTTTTGACAAAAATAAATAATAAATAAAATAAAATGAGTGCATGTGTAATAGTGGCAACATATCCGGTGCAAACCAAACAACCAGTACAAACTTAAAAACTACCAATCAGGATCACTAGATGCTGATCCAATGAATGGGGTGAGGGGCTTAAGCGCAAAAAAAAGGCCGGCGTGAGGAGGGCTTAAGCGCAAAAAAATCTCACCTCTCACCCCATTCATTGGATCAGCATCTAGTGGTCCTGATCAGTAGTTTTCAAATTTGCACAGATTAGTTGATTTGCACCTGATACGTTGCCTGTATAATAACCCATAAATAAATCATCGTATGGCATATTGATGATATTGATTCCAAGCTCGTAAGAGTTGTTCTGGCAGCATCATACAAATGGTCTAGTATATTTTTAGGATTTTTTTGACAATGCATAAAAGTTAAATGACCTTTTAGACTCTCGCAGTGCCAGCTCCTAGACGTCCGGATATCCACGCTTGCACTCCGTTTTGTACGCCCACACGGCTCCCGCACCACCCAAACCTTGCCCGCGCCCCCTCCGCTTCCCCTCTCAGACGTCTGCGCCTCCTCGCTGGCACCTTAGCCGCTACGGTACGTGGGTCCCCAGCAGCAACATCGGATCTACCTTTGAAACATCCAGATAAAACATTTGCAACATGTTCTGAAGACATATGAAACACTTGAAACATGCGTCTGAAACACTTGCAATGAAAAAGCCATTGCAAAACATATAAAAACATCCAGATAAACTTGTAACAAATGTGTGAAACATATGTAACATCCAAATAAGCACACTTTCAATATAGGTCTGAAAAAGCTGATGAAACATTTGGAACGAATGCTTGCAACATACATATACAACCATTACAACATGTGCAACATCTCGATCTATTTTTGCAACATCCATATAAAATACAAGCAACATACCTTTAAAACACCTGAAACAATTGAAACATACTCTTGCAACATCCGCTTTCAACGCAACATCTCCTTGCTGCTTGGCAGAATGTAGGTCTCTCGATGTGTGGTGTTCACCGGAGGCACGGCCCGCGCGGTGCTTGTAGGCGGCGGACCGGCGGCATTGGCTGCATGTAGCGGAAGGGAGGCAGCGGCCACAAGAGCGGCAGGGAGGACGCGGCCGCGTGACTTGGAGAGGGCAGCCGTGCGCCGCACGTGGCAGGGCCGGCAGCCCAGCACCGCGACTTGGAGGCAGTCACGCGCTGTGCCTAGCAAGGCCAGCGGCCGAGCGCTGCGCCTCGGAGGCGGTCGCACGTAGCGCTTGGGAGGGGCAGCGGTCGTGCACTCGGAGGCAACAGGCGAGTAGATAAGAGCGATAGGAAGAGGAACGAGTTGATATGAATGAGCAGATGAGCGGGTTTTTTTCATAGAAACGAAGGAGCGTGCATTGTTAGGCTGGCGTCGCGGCCAGCAACAAAGGTTCCGGGCGGACGGACGTCCGGTTCAAAGCATTACCATTTAGGCTTTAGAGAATGACCTTTTTAAGAACCGGTTTTGGATGTCTGATCGTCGCAAGCGCCACGATATGCAAGAGGATGATGCGTGCGCACTCTGTGATCAGATGTTGAGACGGTGGGCCATCTCACAGCAAGTTGCATCTTCACCAGACAGGTGTGGCAGCTAATGCTCACGCTGGTAGGTCTGCTAGCGTTGATGTTGGAGTACGAGGACGAATTGGGGGAGTGGTGGCTTCGCCAGCGAGCTTGACACGACTCGACAACGCGACCTACCTTCGATTCCTTGGTGTTGCTCATTGTCTGGACTGTTTGGAAGGAAAGGAACAATAGTGTCTTTGGGATAATGTCTTCCACTCCGGTTGCTGTCGTTCGGAGCCTAATGGAGGAAGCGGCGGATTGGTACAGGCAGTCTTCACAAAACATTATGCACGTATAGTACTATAGTTGCATTGTTAGGCTCTCGGTCAAATGTTTGCGCTCATGTCATGCAAGCATGTTTCACTGCTACGTTCTTAATGAAATTCGGGTCCAATCCCGCTCAGAAAAAATAAATTCAAAATTTATAACATCAAACGATTACATTATGGAAATATATTCCATGGTGTATGACGTATCTTATCATCTTATTTAGTGTCATAAATTTTGACCTTTTTTCTATAAGTTTGATAAAAAAAATTATAAAAAATAACTTAGTATAACTTTAGTTACAGGAACTAAACATGCCCATTGGGGCATAGCTTGGTAAATTCATGGATAAAGTCATACTCATACCGAGGAGACCATTAACTGGTTCAAATCACAGTGATGGAAAGTATGCATGCCTATACAATGGTTGGCAACTGATGCCCGTAGTGACATTCAAACCATCAACTTTCCCACATAAGGGGAATAATCTATATAAAGAAAATGAATCTGCACCCTAGGATTCAGCCTGTCTTAGCAAATAATCTAGCCTCTGTATTTCATCAATGCGATGTGCGCAACATATATGATTGAGCCTCTGTCTTCCACTTGTAGTCGGTGAAGACTTGCCTGAACCAGGTCATTCATCCTGGTTGAACAACATAACCTGCAATGGAACATTATGATGTCAGATATCATACATATGTTGACAGGTCCAAGTAAATGCATCCTAATCAAGTGAAATAATTTCTAGAAAAGGATTGCACTTCTAACAATGTTCAGATGCTTAGTGCTGATTCAACATGGACTCATGAACTTTTGTAATCAAATCAAGTTGTCAAATATATGAAGTACATCTCCCAATATATCAAGACATTTGCATTTAATTTCACAGTTAAAAGATGAGTCATGTGAATCAAGAGTGGTCAAATACAGTGAGGTAGATGGTGAAATTATGACACAATGCATCCATCCAGTCAATGACTGTACTAACAAAAGAAATTAGTTAAGAATAAGAAAGCAACATACCCTACTAATCAGATAGATTTTGAAGAATCACAGTGGGGGTCTCCCCTGCTATATTTTCGGGTCAAAAGAAAAATATTTTGAAGAATCGAAGAATTGTAAACAGAACTATCCACACTAGTTAACATTTGCTAACTGGAAGATAGCTACAATAGTTCAACATTAACATATTTATGCTCATGTTGCTGTCCAAATGAAAAATCCACGCTAGCTCATTTTTGCAAGACAAACATAACATATGTATGAGAGAGGAAATTGTTATACATTATAACCCATAGTGAGCATGCCGTGGACCGACTAAATCTGAGGTCTGAAAAATGTACAACTTTTGGAGTAGAAAACTTATAGTATAATATACTGACACCCTTGATGAACTGTGGGGCCACAAGAGAAAGCAAAATCTTTTGAGTCTTTTATAATGGCATACAGGGAAAAGACCCGAAATCTTTTCAGCATGCTGGTCCTTCCCATTTATTACAAACTCTGTTTATCACAAACGACACAGTACAGACTACAGAAAGAAAGAAGCGAGGAAAAAACATACTAGAACAAATGATAAATTTCTATTGGCTGAAGTGCTCCCACATGCAACTACTGAGGAATGAAACACAACACATTATAGCCTGCAATAGCAAATGCATGTGACTTCATTAATAAAAATGTCACCATAATGCAACACTGACAACACAGGGAGCAGCAACATCAAAATGCCCACAGATTCTAGGAACGAGGAGATGATAATCTACACCAGGAGGATCTTTAACAAGCAAGTCAATCATCCACAACATAGAGAATTATGGATTCATCGTTTTATAAAAGATAGATTGAACATAGACTTGAAAAACATACCATTTAACAGCTAAACCAGAAACATCTGAAGCATCTTCCAGTTTCCAGTGGTGCCTAAACAAATTGAAACAGAAGTCTTGCACAGGCAAAGAAATCTGTGCCAAACCACATGGGCCACAGACAACTTATGGAACCTAACATCCAGGTATTTTTCTGTTTGAAAACTTAATATTTCAGATTTCAAATACTTATAGGTGCACAATTAAGCAATTACAACATTAAAGATGCTAAATCAAAGACAGGGTCGGAAAGGTGAGGGCATGTACCTTGAGCAAGGGGAGCAGCAACACCTACCAAGTAAACACTAAACAGAGAATTGAGAATGGGTTAGAAAATGCACATGGAGCCAGCAAGCAAACACATACCGCACGCAGGGACTAAAACTAACGTCTCCATCTCCTGAGGAGGTGGAGCTGCTGCGCTGCCACCGCCGCCACCGCCACCGCCACCGCCGCTGCCGCTAATGCATTGGGGCCACCATTCCTGTCCTATCGTCGATGCTAAAATCCAGTATCCAGCAGCTCGTTAGTCTCAGCAAACACACCTTCCACTGGCATGGCATCTCCTTCCACCAAAAAACCAAACTGATGAATTTCATGTTAACTTTGTCCTACATGACAGAAGCTGTAAAGCTAAAAGAATAGAGCCAAGGAATTAACAATGGTTAGTTTTACTCCACCTAAGTAGCACAACTGTTCAAAGAACCAAGGTACAGTTTGTCTCAGGGGGGGCTCAATTGTCCTACTCGTGTACTGCAACAGTCTCCAATCAAGTTAAACCTCCCAGATCATCATTTGGGCATATATAGTATCCACAGGCTTCGATTCAACATATTCAACATATTCACCATATGGTTTTTCCATACTTGATTCGTATCATATGCTTCCACTGCAAAAATTGAA